ATTATATCTGGTATAAAGTGTCCTACGTTTTATCAGGGACATACATAATTCATAAACTGTATATGCACACGAAGTCTCGCTTATATTAATGAGTTTTACTGTAGCAAACCTTTTAAAGTTTCCATTGATAGATAGGTTGTTTGCCTCCAGTATTGTTTGGTAAAACAGACTAAACTTCTAAAATGTCGATTCCAGTATACGATAAAGATTAAAGTTGATTTAAATATTGATAACTCACAGCGGCGTTATACAAGTCTAAAGAAGCTGGATTATTCTTCAATAAAGCCCTCAATGGACAATGCCAATGTCAATGAAAGGTCTAATATTATAAAAACATGTTGCAGATTACTGTATATACAAAATATGAAATAATTTATATAAAGTACAATACCAGTGTCTGGTGCATATATCGTCCTAGATATTCAAGTTGTACCGCACGCACGGAAACGCATGTACGGAGTCTTGGCGTTTGTGTGATAACAGATAGCTAGCTACACTTCGACATTATCTTCCTTGATCGTTGAGTTTCAGCAATGTAAATGAAATGAATTTTATAGCCAGTCCATAACGGGTTTTAATCCTGTGCTTTTACAGTCAGAATAGCACTATTGTTTACACATGTTGGCGATGTTTGGGAAATCAAAGACAAAGGATCCCGTTATAAAATAAATCTTTTGTTTTGAATATCGGACAGGATACTTTAACTATAAAGAACCATATCGTTCGTTTAATACCGTTTGATCGATCAGTCTGTGTAGAAGATATGTATGTTTCTATGGCGATACGTGCTAAACTTCGCAGGCCAGGCGCTTGTGGAGTGTTTTCCTTGCAAGTGAAATGTGATCCAGCTTCTCGCTTGAAATGTAGTGCAACACTTATTATTGATGACATTCAGTATAGCAGGAAGTCTTGTCATGATCGGTACGAATTTAGAACAGTTCCTTTCATAAGGCCACATAAAAATATAGTTGGTTAGCGTCCCCACCCGCCCACAAAAAAGGCCCCGCTCAGGATTTTTTTTAATTTTTTATTTTAAAAAAACCCGACTTTTATTGATCAACGGGCTCTAATATATGTAGTATTTCTGTTGACTGTAGTCAATTGTGTTAATAATTTGCGAAATTTGCGTGCGAAAATGACGGTATGAATTATATTTTGAAATATATAAAAATATCTGTACTACGCAAGAAATCCAGTTTCGGACCGAACAGTGAGTAAAACCAAGGCGTTAAAAAATAGTAAAAATTAAAAAAAAGCGCCCGCCCGCCCACTTTTTGGCAAAAGCTAAGGACGCTAACCAACTATTTTTTTTTATATATGGCCTAATCTCTTGTTGCAAATTACATTTTTATCACCCGAAATTATAACACATAAAGTTGCAATTTTCCAAACGCAACAAACAGACTACTCTCCTACCCCTCCCTGAGATCAAATTCAATTTACCCCCAAAATCTGGGGGTTCACGTGACCAGCTCCGACCAGGGTCTTTGCTTCCCAAGAGCAAATAGCCTGGGAACGAGGTTGCTCCCAGGGGAGTTTCAGACGTAGTCGTCGCTCTGTTTACAACGACAAATCACAGATTTTCACGTCTTTTATACAACGCCTGCATTTCAAGCCGTAACAAGTGCAACTCGAATTCGGTTCAATAGAACTCTTCCCAAACATAAAGCCAATGTTTTCAACTTCTCATACTGTATTAAATTCATACAAATTATAATACACGACAAGTTTTCTTTACTATCATTTATTTGAAGGAATTTACTTTGGCCGTCATCGTCGTGTTGCCGTCCTACATGCTTAAGCTCTCTAATGTCAATACGGAAACGTCGGAAAATTCTTTTTTTATGTTTCTTGGTGCTATATTATAAAACAAATATAAAACTTTTTTCGTATTGATATACAGTTATATCAACACTCGTAGAAAATATGAAAACTCGAAATTGTGTGGAAACACGACGCCGAAAGGGCGGAGTGTTTCCACACAATTTCGAGTTTTCCCAATTTCCACTCGTGTTGATATAACTGTCTATCACCAAGGAAAATGTTCTATATTTGTTAAACATTCCATACAATTGTTCCTGTGCATCGCTGTCTTTGTATTTCTGTTTTTGCCGGACTATAAAATAGCATTTTGAGCGCTTAACAAGATTTATTTGGCATTAAAACATTTCCAAATTCATTATTCTTGTCGTTGAATCCTCAATGCCGTTAAAAAGCAATTAAAAAAAAACAAACCGTAAACATATTCATACTGGTTAAAATAAACAGCAGCCTTGGCCTATTTAGTGAAATTCTTGTTCTTTCTCAAAACCTAGGGTTATTTATGGATAATTTGAGTAAAAATTGGTAGGCGATTTATGCATAATTTGGGTAAAAATTATCCACGACGATCAACGACGATCCGCCAACCATAAAAAATGCGTGTCGAAACCTTTACTCGCCTGTATACAGGTACACCCAACAAGTAAATATAGCTGTATATATCAGCGTTTTGAACTAAAAGCTGTATATAGGATATAGGTAGAAAAACTGATTTTTTTGCATATATTTTTGTTTCTTCGAATTAACAAATTTGGGAACATGACCTCATCATTTATCCAGCTATATCTGCCAAAAAAGACATCATAGCGGGAAAATAAAAACGGCGACGTACCTTTCATTGCAGAAAGTACATTATTATGACATTCTTCGATTTTCAAAATCACGAGTGTAGTTTTTTATTAATTACACTGGCCATTTCTTTCAAATTTAAATATTAAATAGATATTACCATAGATATCTCATATACACTAGTTAGCGCATCTCACCCTGCGGGCGAGCGAAATTTGAAGCCTGATCGCAGTCGCATTTTACGCGAGGGGGCCATATTGGTCGTTCCCACGAAGCGTGATAATATGTATATTTTGTATTGCGGAAATGGACAATGTTGACCATAAATCCTCTTTTATGCAGTCAATTTTGGGTTTTTAAGTGTGGAACTTGTTGTCAATGATGCCAGATCGTTGGAGCTTCATATTGTGAATAACGGGTAGGCGAAATTTAATTATTTTTTTCTGAAAATATCAATATTTGTCGACCCGTATGAAGGGCGGCCATATAACAACTAATGACAAACCACTGCGATTTTTCAATATTTTTATGTTAAATATATCATGTTGTGTGTGGAATTAATCCACCAATTCCAAATAAGACATTTTGAGCTAGTATCGCCATTGCTTCATGGCAAAATTGTAAATGTATTTGTAAAAGACAGCAACATTGAAAAACATTTTAGTCACAGTTTATCAATTATGGCAAAAGTAGTCAAAATAAAACATGGAATGAACCAAAACAAAAATGGTTCTTACTTCTTATAGTATGTGTATATTTATTTACATACAACATATATGTATTATTTTATAGTTCCATGGAATCACATCAAGATTAAAATCTATTAGAAGCTAGAGAACAATTGCAACTTTATATTCGCAGGCAATATAAGGTAATTTCTATTGTATTATGTAAATATAGTTGATAATTCACTGGTATGAATGCTTCAAACCATCTTTAATTGATGTTAAGAAATATTTCTTTCTATTGAGTCCTGTGAGTACAAGACCTTTTGCTTGTAATTAAAGCTATCGAACTGCTAAATTACTGTAATTATTAATAGGTCATTGTTTTAATACAGTACTGAATTTGTATTTTAGAACTGCTTTATGGGAAATCCTATTTTGTAATGACACACATTATTTCTTGCATTTTTGTATAAGATAAATGAAATAAACTGATTGATGCAAAGTACGTAGGTTTTGTAATCTTAAATATAGTTACATTCATTATTGTATGAATAATTATATTGTTATAATAAAATACTACTTTTGACTTTGTGTAATAGTGCTTTCTAATTCTTTGACACATATCAAATGCACAATATTAAACTTTTCTTAAAAAATAAACGAAATTTGCAAGTACTTTCAGGAATTGAAAACATGATAAACTCTCAATTTTAGTCTTTTCAATTTAGTGGTTACTGTAAATATATCGCCCCATGTGAGGTAATCCAGGAGGTATTTGGATTCCGGATCCCACTGCTTGGATTCCCGATCCTACTCCTTGGATTCCGGATTCCACATCTTGGATTCCGGATTCCGGAACTGTAGTGGATTCCGGATTGCAATTTATTATTTTGTGTATTGCAAAGCCAATAAATACACTTTCAGGTCCCAGTGCACCTGTTACTGCATATATTATCTAACAAGTTTTGATAATAAAAGATATAGCTTCAAATAAGTACATCAAAATTATATATTGATATACTGTAGTGCAACCAACATTGTTTATGTTTCGCGGCAAGGCCCTATTCAGAAACCTTTCTAAAAGGTTAATTGCGGTTTCAACGGTGAGAAAGAACAACGATTTTTAACTTCTGGGAAATTAGTTTTGGTAACATTCCACGCGTGTCTTGGTTTACTTGCTCTTGACTTCTAGAAATCTCTAGCTAGGTTCTTATTTCACTTATACGTAAAATCAGTACATAACAAAATTACAATGAATACATTTTTTTTGCAATAAAATTACGAAAAATGGAGCTGAGTAGATGGTTGTTTCACTATCTATCAACGAAGAGACATATGGTGAGTAGCTTAGCCTAACAATAAATATGAGATAAATATACTATTTAATCTATATGTAGACTAATATAATAAAACTATAATCAATAAAACTATCATCAATCAATCAATTCAAACACTGGATTACACAAACATGGAAATGTTTTTATCCCTCAAATGAATAATAATTGTAGAAACGTGTGTCATTGTAGCTGAGAAGGAAACGGGTTGTTCTTCCAGGCAGACTGACGCCCGGAAATCGTGGGGGAAGTGCGGCAAGTTTAACACTTCTTCCATCTCTTCTTCCATTTCTTCTTCCATCTCTACTTCCATCTCTTCTTCCATCTCTTCTTCCATCTCTTCTTCCATCTCTCCTTCCATCTCTTCTTCCATCTCGTCTTCCACATGCTATTGCTCCTCGTCTCCAGTTTCCTCATATATATATCCGTTAGAAATGCGTGATAGTTGAATGTTCTCCTCCAGAGGGACTAGAAACTGTTCGCGTTGAAACAAAATCCTGCGGGAGTCGGCCATGATACACTTCGGGGAGTTCTTGTCACAGATACCTTTGACATAACAGTGTCGATCCTCTGTTTTAAGCCATCGAATACTCATACTGTTTCTCAAGAACCTTCCACTGTCAGCTTCGACGCAAACGTCCTCCAGAAGAATAGCTAACCAATACGGGGACGTTCCCTCCTTAAATTGTGGCTGATGGCGACGACGTCATCCCTGCGGTACAGAACCCTAAGCCGTGCTGCATGAATTGCCTCGATTACCGTTGGGCGCATTTACAGTCTGGCATTCTTACACGATGTCCTCCACTTCTTCCGAGGCGGTAACGGCGGCTGGTCTCATGCTCAAGGAATATGGAAGGGTTCCTGTAATCTTTTTCTTCTTTGAAAGAACGTTTTCTTGTCTCACACCCCTGCCGTATTCGCTTACACATTCTCGCATTACTTCCTCGCATCTTTTGCATTGTCTTTCTCCCCCACTTCCCTTAATCGCAACACTTTGCTTTGTTGCATGGGAGGCCATGTTGGGCGGTTCGCTCTTCATAATTTTCTCATGGTAAAATGAATTAGATCCAGTGAAATACGAACAAATATGTTTACAAAAAAATATGTTCTTTTCTTCTAAATTAATAAAACAATGGATTCCAGAACGGACCCTGGATTCCGGATTCCTCAGTTATTTGGATTCCGGATTCCAAGGTCTGGATTCCGGATTCCAAGACTCCGGATTCCAGATTCCTAAACCAAAAAAAAGTTGGATTCCGCATTCCCTCACAAGGGGCGAAATATAATTTTAAAAAATGTGCAATTTAAAAAACATTTTTGAGACTTGTGTCAAAGAGTTTTTACCGTTTTGGCACCAATTGTAATTAAGTTGAGTTAAACTCAGCAAATTTCACAGCAATGGGAAAAGTTAGAGGTCCTCAGTGTTGTGCTTTCGAATATTCCAAACGTAAAAAAGTCGGTCCTAAGTTTTCATAAAGTATAAGAAGTAATTGGGAAGGGTCAAGTGATGATGCATCAAAATTCAAAAGAAAACTTCCCAGGACATTTCATCAGTAAGCAATTTATTTTTACAAGCATACTATTCTATAGATTGAAACTAGACTTGCATTACATGATGAACTTCCTCTATAGATTTCCTAAGGATAAAGTTCCAACTTCTTCATTGTCCATAACCTGTCTTTTTACTGAGCTAGATCACCATCTTTTTGACTCACCAGTTCGTGAGAATCATGTTGATCAGCTGATCAAGAGTGGGCAGTTACCCCCTCCCCCAAATAATTCCTGAAAGTCATTGAATGGTGGCTGAGTAACTATTTTTACATCTAATTGAAAGTTATAAATTGGTGGGATATACATTAAGCAAATTTGCAAGAGATGTATATATAAGTTCAACCCATTGAGTTGCAATGTGCCCTAATGGGGCCTAAAGTGCCGTACTTTATTATTTTACTCTGTCTAACACCAAATGACTTTACTTGTCAAGGGGAGAGTGCTGGCTCTCAATAGGTTAAAGAATTGAGATTTCTGGCAACTGGGTGGTAATATGGTAGTCACCCACATCCTCCCCCATTGTCTTATATACCTGTTACTCAAACAACCATGTAGATATTGGCCTTGCAAGCAAATGATAATGATAGTTCACTCAATTACTGTTGTCATAATACACACCCAAATACCACATTCTGTGCTACATTAATTTGTCTAGTTCTTGGGTAATTTTACTCATCATTGGAAAGACCTTGCACACTAATTGGTTAATTTAACATAGATTTCTTTAACTATGTTGTAAAAAAAAAGAAGTAACAATATGCAAATTGGGAAAATGCATGAATTAAGTATGCGTGAAAGGCATTTGTGCCAAAAATTATAGTTTCAGTGCCTACTTGAAGAACTTAAAATTGAGCAAATGTTCTGATATTTGGATCATTAATAAAACGCATAACAAATTTCTCGTCTATCAACTCAAAATGCGTTTTAACCTTTTAAATTTCATGTGCAAGCTATTTTACAGTAATGCTGCTAAGAAAGACCCCACCCCCCTGCTTTGGAAAATTTATCTTTACGAATTTATCTTTATCAAATATTTAATGGCATGAACGGATTGGTGAAATTGAGAGCCGTTTCAAATTGTTTACTTATTTTCTTATACATCCGTTGAGAATGGAGCGTTCACTTGGCTTAAAATTGCCTTTGCAAAGTACTTGACTGATACTGCCAATGTCAGTTTTTGAAAATATGATCATACAGCAGCAGTTACTGAAGAAGCAATGCATAATGTGCATAATCACGAATTCACGTCGATGATGTTTACCTTAGCGACTGTAATTGGCTTACAATTCAATCATACTATCCTACCCAAACTGTTGACATATTTAATTTAATTAATATCACAACCACCAAAAGCAAATGATGGACATGCTTCACCGTCCATAGACCGAAATTTGAGGAAAAATACGCCGCTCAGATTGCAGGAAATGGTGTTTCCGGGCTTCAAATTCCAAAAATTTTACGGGTGGGCATGCCCCCGGACCCCCTAGTTAACCGTGATTTAGGAGCCACGGTCAGTTTCGGAGCTGGATCCGCCCCTGGTCATCGGAAATATTCTTGCATCCCGGTACGCCAGTTAAAAGCTCAGCAATTGAATTTTGGAATATTTCTGATGCGGCATTTATTCCGAACATGAGTCGTTTATATCGTCCAAGACCGACATGGGTGGAAAATGTTGTAATGCGCCTGCTTTCGGGTTCGAGCTCGAGTTGATGGTATCCGGATGTCAGGTCTAGGGTGCTGAATACAGTTGCATCATTTAGATCAGTGATGAGTTCATCAAGTGTTGGCATAAGGTGCTTTTCTCTTTTCACAGCTTTGTTTGCCTCTCGCGTGTCAACACAGAGGCGAATTTCTCCTGTTTTCCTTGGGACTACGACGATGGGACTGACACAGGGGGTGGGCCCCTCGAGTCTTTCGATAACATCGAGATCTTCTAAGCGTTGAAGTTCTTTTTCAACATCTTTCCTAATATGAAATGGAATGCGGCGGTGGGACTGTTACTTAGGTTCAATCTCGGGATCAATATTCAACTTGATTGTCTTGTCCTTTATCTTGCCAATTCCATCGAACAAGTCTGGAAAATTTTGCTCGGGAGGTGTGTTGGGGGTATCTAAAACAGTGTTTACCGTTATCTTTAGGATTCCTAAACTTTCGGCTGTGTTGCAACTCAAAAGGTTTTCATTTCGTCCTGTGGTGACGTAGAAGGTAGCAGTGACTGTGGTTGACCGGAAACGAATTTCTGCTGTAGTCATACCTAAGAGTGGCAGTTCCATATTTGAGCCATATGTGAATATCTTGGATCGGGGTGTAGTGAGCACTGCGTTTTTGTTGCGCTTTCGAATCTTTTCGTAAGTGGATTCATCGATAACATTGACAGAAGCACCCGAGTCGATGATGGTTAGGATTGCTTCGTTAGCTATGTAAACTTCACAGAGTGGTGATGTATTGTGCTGATGGTTATTCTGCAAGGTGAATAGATATTGGGGTTCCTCTGATGGGGTTTCCGATACTTGGTGGATTTCGCGTCGTTTGGGTTTAGATCTTTACCTTTTGCAGGACAGTCACCGTTATGTAGAAAAATTCCACCACAATTGCGACATTTTTGAGTAGGTATTTGTTGATTTCCCGGGGGTATTTGTCGATTTCTGGTGGGAAATTGTCGATTTCCGGGGGGTGTTTGTTGATTTCCAGCGTTCCCAAAGTATCTGGACTTCGATTGTTGATATTTTCCGTGATTTTTTCTGTTTCTCGTGTCTCTTTGGCTTTGCTCGTGTTTGATGGAATTTACGGGTGACATGCCTTTTTCTACGGCTTCGGCTTGTGTTTCGCTTCGCTCTTGTGCTCTTCCCGCGGCTAGTAGATCTTTGAGAGTTGGATTATCACGCAAAGCTTGTCGTCTTAAACGTTGTGACAAACACCCAATAATTATTTGTGATTTTACTTCTTTCTCGACGTCGGTAAAATCGCAGGTTTGGGCGAGTTGTCTCAGCCGGGTATTATATGCGTCAATATCTGAGTTAACTTGAGGCAAAAAGTATGCATTCAGAGCGTCTACTGCTTTTTTATAGTCCTTGTCTTCGCCGGTATCAGATAAAGTATCAAAGATTTCGTCTACGGCCGGGCCAGCATAATGTAATAAAAGGGCCCGTTTTTGTTTTGCTTCTGTGATGTTCGTCGCTATAAGAAGGCGTTCGAACCTGGTTAGCCATTTTTTCCATCGTGGACCAACGTTGCCATCGACATGGACGTCAAAATGTGGAAAGTTTGGCAAGGAAAGATTAGAGGTTGCCATAAATGTTTTAAGTTCAAGCGCTTCGTTGAACAATAGCTGTACTGTTGACTATTTTGGCGCGTTTTTTTCTGTTTGTTTTGTTCGCACTTTGGAACTTCGTTCGGCCGTTTCTGTTGCTAAAAACTCGGTCTTTTTAGCAAAATAATCAATTTCGTCGATTTGATTACGTGTATGTAGTGTATCGCGGTAAATATCGGATAAACACAACAGTATAGCCGCCGGGTTTGTTGTGTTGTATAACTTGTATATTATGAGAATGAATACATTATAAAATTACAAAGCAGAAGTTAGTAAACATTAGTGTACAGTATAATATTAACTTATATTAATTGGGCTGGATACTACATGAGGGATAAAAACATTTCCATGTTTATGTAATCCAGTGTTTGAATTGATTGATTGATGATAGTTTTATTGATTATAGTTTTATTATATTAGTCTACATATAGATTAAATAGTATATTTATCTCATATTTATTGTTAGGCTAAGCTACTCACCATATGTCTCTTCGTTGATAGATAGTGAAACAACCATCTACTCAGCTCCATTTTTCGTAATTTTATTGCAGAAAAAATGTATTCATTGTAATTTTGTTATGTACTGATTTTACGTATAAGTGAAATAAGAACCTAGCTAGAGATTTCTAGAAGTCAAGAGCAAGTAAACCAAGACACGCGTGGAATGTTACCAAAACTAATTTCCCAGAAGTTAAAAATCGTTGTTCTTTCTCACCGTTGAAACCGCAATTAACCTTTTAGAAAGGTTTCTGAATAGGGCCTTGCCGCGAAACATAAACAAT